GTCAGGAGCTTGTTTCTTGTCCTGCTGTGCATTTATGTCTGTGTCTCCTGCTCGTGCTCTAAGGGTGGGGCTGTGTTCCTTGCAGGCCATGGAGTACCAGGGCTGGGCAGACACGCTCTTCATCGCGCAGTTCACGCTGTCGTGTGTGATGGGGTAAGGAAGGCCACCCTGCCCTGGCTGGGGCATCTGGGGGGCAGGAGGGTGGGGGCACCCAAGGGGTCTCAGGAGTGCTGTGGTTTGGTGGCCTGAGACACACTGGGTTTAACAAAAAATAAATGCATAAGCCTTTAGGACAGGGACACCACTTGGGTTGTTGGGCAACAGGGCTGGCTATGAGGCAGGGTGTGCCCAGGTGGCCAAGAGGCCACCAGCCCCTGGGCTGTGTCAGCCACAGCGTGGCCTCCAGGAGCAGGGCAGGGATTGTCCCCCTGTGCTGGGCACTGCTGAGGCTGCACCTCCAGTCCTGGGGTCACTTCTGGGCCCCTCAGGACAAGAAGGACATGGAGGGGCTGGAGCGTGTCCAGAGAAGGGCAGTGGGGCTGGGGAAGGGGCTGGAGCACAAGTCCTAGAGGAGCAGCTGAGGGAGCTGGGGGTGTCCAGCCTGGAGACAAGGAGGTGAGGGGAGACCTGCTGGCTCTGCAGCTGCTGAGAGGAGGTTGGAGCCAGGGGGGTCGGGCTCTGCTCCCCAGGAACAAGGGATGGGACAAGAGGAAATGGGCTCAGGTTGTGCCAGGGGATTGCATGGATCTTGGGGACAATTTCTTCCTGGCAAGGGTTGTCAGGCCCTGGCCCAGGCTGCCCAGGGCAGAGTCCCCATCCCTGAAGGGGTTTCAAAGCCCTGTAGATGTGGTGCTGGGGGACATGGGGCAGTGGTGGCCTTGGCAGGGCTGGGGGAACAGTTGGACTGGATGGTCTTAAAGGTCTTTTCCAACCAAAATGAGTCTATGATTCCATTATTTCTGCAAACTATGGCAGATGGAAATGATTTCCTACCCTGCTTAAGTGCAGGTCTACCAAAAAAAAGTGGCACAGGTGCCACTCTAGGAAGGAGGGGCAGAGGTGAGTGGTGATGGCAAAGCCTGTCCTGGGTCCCAAGGTCTGCTCTTCCTCCTGCAGGTTCATCCTGATGTACTCCACAGTTCTCTGCACTCAGTATAACTCTGCTCTCACAACTACAATAGTTGGCTGCATTAAGGTAGGTGGTTCCTGTGCTCCCTGGGGCTTCAGCTCTGCCCTGCCTGGGGGGCAGGAGGGCTCCAGTGGGATGACTTGTTTAATTCATTCCTTTTGTGGAGCAGAGGGATGCTCTGTGTGTGTCTGGGCAGCCTCAGCCCCAGAGCCTTTCTCAGCAGCTCTAAACCCACCTGCTTGGAGTCCTGCATTGCCCCCACCCCTTTCCCCACCCTCTGCACTCCAGGTTCCCATCCCCACCTTGCTTCAGTGCAGGGGGCTTGGCTGGGGCTGCACAGACACTGACACCCTCGTTCCTCACGTCTCCTTCCTTTGCAGAATATTTTAATAACCTACATTGGGATGTTTTTTGGAGGAGACTACATCTTCACCTGGACCAACTTTGTTGGTCTAAACATCAGGTAAGTTGGCAGGGCTCGTTTGTGACTTGCAAGGGGAAGATGCTGTGAAACTGAGGGGGTTTGAGGCTCCTCTTCTTGCACGAAGGTGACTTGACACCTCTTCAAAAAAGGAACAAACCCACAGAACTGGTGTTTTCTTGCACGAAGGTGACTTGACACCTCAAAAAAGGAACAAACCCACAGAACTGGTGTTTGTGCTGCAGCAGAAGGGCCTGCTGGGGCTGCTCAGGCCCTGCTTCCAGCTGGGACCTCCTATTTGGGATGTTGTGGTGCCAGGAGAAGGCAGAGAGGGATTTTAGCAGCAAACTTCAGTTGTTCTCAGAGTTGTGGGCCCAAATTGTGTAATGAAGGTAGCAAAAGAAGTATTTTATTTGTTCATTTCACTGGGTATTTTGGCACAGCTTTTGGAAAGCCTCCTTTCTGCTCTGGGGTGTGTTTCTGTGGGGTGGAAAGTCTCCTTGTCCTCAGCAGGACCCTGCAGTGAGGAGCAGGTCCAGCACTAGGCAAGGGACTGGGTGAGCAGGCGTTTGTTTGGGCAGGAATTGAACAGAATAGCTGATCTTAGAGGGGGAAAACAGGGGTTTTTTTTCTTGCAGCACATCCTTGACCATCAGCACCCCCCTAGGTTTGACTTTCCTTTGGCAGCTGGTGCCTGGGGGTGTAATTGCTGAAGGTGCAGGGTGTGCAGGGATGTTGGTGCAGGGGTAACTCCAGCCCCGTGGCTCAGCTGGGGTGTCTCACTCTCCCCCCTGCCCCTGTTTTGCAGTATTGCTGGAAGCCTGGTGTATTCCTACATCACCTTCACGGAGGAGCAGATGAGCAAGCAGTCCGAAGTGGGCAGCAAGATGGACATTAAAGGGAAAAGCTCAGTGTGACCAGGGAGAGGAGCTTCCTGGGGAAGTGACCGACTTCTGCTGAGCTGCTGAAGGGCAGGACGGGGAGGAACCCGGGGCACCTGCCACCGAGTCAGGGCCACGCTCTTAATTTGCACAAATTAGATTGCTGCCTTTACAAATTACTGGGAAGATGACTGAGCACACGGCGAGGGATGAATCTAATGAAGCCTGATGGTGAGGGAATTAATGGGTCTGTAATCACGGGGAGATGTGGCAGGGGGGGCCGGCTCGGGCAGGGCGGGTTGTGTGGGCTCCCAGGGAGGCACCTGCAGCACCCTGGGCTGCCCCTCATCCCAGTGGGAGCAGCAGGATGGGTGCTGGGAAGGGGAAGCAAAAGGATCCTGGGGCAGATCCAGCCCTGGAGGGAGCAGCACAGAGGGAGCCCTGGGCCTCGCAGCCCACGCGTGGGGAGCTCCAGTATCCCCCAGCAAAGCCCCTCCTGCAGGATGCTCCTGCTTTGGGCCAGAATCCCCTTGTTGAACACTCAGATTTTCTTGTCTTGTTGTTGTTGTTGTTGTTGTCCTGTTCACCTGCTTTTAAAGCAGGGTTTCCCCACCCCTTGGTTTCTCAGAGCCCCACAGAGATTCACCCCTCTCCTTCCTGCTGCTTGCAACCTTGAAGGTTTAACCCCCCCCCGGGGCTGGCAGCTTCCCCCAAAACATCCCAGGGGGGCAAATCCCATGGATTTGGGAAAGCTGCTGCCCATGCCAGGGCTGGCCCTGGATCCAAAGAGGAGCAGCAATGGGGTTTGCAGGAGGGCTGGTGTTGTCCCACCTGGCACATGGAGCTTCTTCCTTCAGCCCAGAAATCAGGCTGCAAAGAGAATCAGCCAAGCCCTGGCCCGTGGGTTGTGTTTTGATGTTACAAATCTCCTTCTATTTGTGACCTGTTAGAAGAAGAGGATTTTTAATTTGTCAGGCAGGGTGAGCTATTTTTTTTAAAGGTGGTTTTACATGGCACTTCTTTCTGAGTCTCTTTGGGTTGTCTTTTGGCTTAAAAAGAACTGTTTATATTTTAAAGCCAATTTTGGTAAAACTCTATGAGGGTTTTTTTATATATATCCTTCCTTTTGGTCACTAGAAAAACAGCTTTCCTAGACAAGAGACTTTATTTCTGGGAGATACTTGCTATAAATGTGCCTGCTGTTTTGGGGAAGCTGCATTTGTTGGGAGTGCTTCATTTTTGGTGTTTTTTCTATGTGCCTGAGAATTTGTGTGTCAGTGCTGGTACCTCCTGCTGGGTGAGCCTGCCAGCCCCTGAGCTGCCCAGTCCCATCCCTGGAGTCCTTCTGGAGCTGAGGGCTCCGTCCTGGGGTGATTCCCTTTTGGGATTGCTGTAGGAGGGGGGGTTGGAGCTCAGTGTTGCTCCCCCCCTACCCCGACTCCAAGTGCAGAATTGGAGAAAGCAAAAAAAAAAAAAATAATTCCCATTTTGTCATTTTTACTGTTTCCTAAATGTTTGTAGAAACA